CAGCTGGCTTGGGGATCCACCTGATGGGGGAGGCCCTGAAGGATTCACCAGGGATGGCGGGGGGGTCGGTGTGGTCGCCACTCGTGGTCACAGCTTCTGCGGCGCTCTCGGCGTCCACTGGCGCTGTCTCTGGTTCTCGAGCTGAGGGCTTGTCACTTCTGAGATTGCCCGCTACGCCTTGGAGCCTCGAGCTGAAGGCTCGTCCCGCATGAGAATCCCGAGCTGAAGGCTCGTCCCGTCTGCGACTGTCCGACTGGGGGGCGGGTGGCTGACGGGAGTCCTCGGGATTACGGGAGTGACCAAGGAGTTGACTGGTCGCCGCGTCGCCGTCGGCGCCCACCAGTCCGTTTGAAGCATCCCGAGCTGCAGACTCCCTCGAACCTGCTGTCTCGCACGGCGCTCCAAGGGCTGAAGGCTCGTCTTCTGTGTGTACCACACTGCTGCATCCAGGGAGGGCGGCGGGCGTGAGGCGACAGCCGTCTAGACGTCGGCTTACGTCCGCGGGGGGGGTCGGCTGCGCAACTGGGACGCCAGCCTCCACGGTTAGAAGATTGGCCCCTTCGCAGCTGAAGGCTGCTTCTCTCGGCATTGAAGCAGGGGGGGCGCTCGGCGGAATGGGGGCGCAAGCCCATAAGATGCGGGTCGGGGACATGGGCAGGCGTCTGTCAGCCTCCTCTCCTGTCGTAACCGCGGTCACCCTCTTGGGTGGCCTTAACCCTAGGCCACCCGCCCTCGTCGGTGAGGCCCCTGGGCCGATCGTCGAGAGCGCCTCTCTGGCGGTCGCTCCTGCGCGGCCAGAATGGGCCTGAGTCCGTCGGGGGATGCACTTGATCAGGAGTGGGGCCAGCGCCCCCCGTGGTCCTGGCATCGCCGTGGGCGATCCAATTCTGCCCTTCACCGCCAGGAGAGAAGGAAATTGGACGCCCAGCCAGGGGCAGAGGAAGTGTCGGGGTAAGGGAGGGAAACAAGTCCGGCGGGAAGGAGTCGCCACCGTCATTGTCAAACCCAGGGAAGCGACTGAAGGTCGCAATATCAGTGTGTTTCGCGGCGCTAACCGTGGCACCCCCTCCTCCCGTCTGGCTGAAGGCCGATGGTTCTCGTGCGTATGCAAAATCGGCGGGGGCGATCAAAGGGTCCGCGGACGCGTTCGGACCGCCCGTGCTCGGAGGGCCCCAGGGAGCGAGGGGCGACGGCTGCCCTGGCGGGATGGTGTCCTGTGATCCTGGGGGAGGATGTCTTGAACCAGCCTGTCTGTGGGCCCCCTGGCCGTCGATTGGGCTTGCATCGTCACCCGCGGAGTTCCCGGGAATCCTAGATCCGTCGTCGATCGGGTCCCCGTCCATGCTAAGTCTGACCTGCAGGCTGGCTGCCGCGCCGCACCGCAAGGGCGAGACCCAGGGAGTCTGATATGGCCGGAGCGCGGCCCGGGGGGCAGCGCGCGGCCCGCGCACTCCTAGGGGATGGCCCCTTGAGCTGGGAGACCCGGCCGAGGAGCCAGGGCCCAGAGACGGCTCGAGCCAGAGGCTGCGTTTTTTTTTGTTCCCCATATCCTACGATGGGAGAGAGCGTGATCCACCGCCGCTTTACTGTGGAAAATTGCCAACCTTTTCCTCCGGAGCCCGGGGGTCGCCCCCCCCCCCCCTCCGAAAATCCCCCCCCGCTGCTGGCCCCCCCCCCTCCCCCGGCAAAACCCCCCCCTCCCCTAACCCTCCCCCCCCCCCTCCCCCTTCGAAAACCGGGGGGTCACTACCGGTTCGAACCCCTCCCCCCCCCCCCCTCCGGATCCGGAAAACCGGGGGGGGTCACTACCGGTTCGAACCCCCCCCCCCTCGAAAACCGGAGGGGGATCACTACCGGTTCGAACCCCTCCCCACCCCCCCACTCACCGCCAGCAAACGACTCCCGGTCCCTACCACCGACCGCATCACATCCTCCACTGTTGTTCCCAGCACCACTGTCCTCACCACCACTGTCCCCACTGTCCCCACCAGTGCCCCCACCACTGTCGCACTCCCCACTGTCCCCACCACTGTTCCACCACGGTTCCACTCTCCCCACTGTCTCCACGGCCCCAACCACTGCCCGACTATCCCCACTGTCCCCACTGTCCCACTGACTCCGCCGCTGTCCCACTGAGCTGCCCCACTGTTCCCACCACTGTCCCCACTCCCCACTGTACCTCTGTCCCATTGTCCCACCGCCGTCCTCGCCACCGCCTTCACCACTGTCCCCACCACCATTGTACCCTCCACTGTCCCACTGTTTCCACCTCATTCCCACTGTGCCCACACCGCTGTCCCCACCACCACCGTCCCCACCACTGTCCACTGTCCCCCCTGTTCCCACCATTGTCCCCACCACTGTCCCCACCACGACCGGCCCTCTACTGTCCCACTGTCCCACTGTCCCCACCACTGTCCCGCTGTCCCCTCACCGCTGTCTCACCAACACCGTCCCCACCTCTGTCCGCACCCCCACTCGGTTTTCGAGGGGGGGGGGTTCGAACCGGTAGTGACCCCCCCCCCTTTTCATGATGAGCTGGGGGGGGGGGGGGGTTCGAACCGGTAGGGACCCCCCCCCGGTTTTCCGGAGGGGGGGAGGGGGGTGGGAGGGGTTCGAACCGGTAATGACCCCCCCTGGTTTTCCGCCAGCAGCGGTAAAACACGCTCTTTCTAAGATGGGGTTCTTGTTATTACTTGGGCGCCTCCTACTCCATCTCCCTCCTCCTCTTTCCTCCTCCCCTCCTCCTCTTTCCTCATACTCAGACCTACTCATACTCAGACTTACTCATACTCAGACTTACTCATACTCAGACCTACTCATACTCAGACTTACTCACACTCAGACATACTCATACACAGACTTACTCATACACAGACTTACTCACACCCACACGTACTCATACACCGACTTACTCATACCCAGACTTACTCATACACTGTATTACGCATACTCAGACTTACTCATACCCAGATCGTGAGGATGTCTCAGGCGGGGCGCTGGTTTCAGCACCCCTAAGGGGAGCCGCCAGGGGTGGTTGCACGGGCTCGTTCGCGGCCATTTTGTGGGGATGTCTCAAGCGGTTTGCTTGTTTCTGGGCCCAACATCGTTCGCTTGGAGAGCAGATTGTGAGGATGTCTCAGGCAGGGCGCTGGTTTCAGCACCCCTAAGGGGAGCCGCCAGGGGTGGTTGCACGGGCTCGTTCGCGGCCATTTTGTGGGGATGTCTCAGGCGGTTTGCTTGTTTCTGGGCCCAACATCCTTCGCTTGGAGAGCAGATTGTGAGGATGTCTCAGGCGGGGCGCTGGTTTCAGCACCCCTAAGGGGAGCCGCCAGGGGTGGTTGCACGGGCTCGTTCGCGGCCATTTTGTGGGGATGTCTCAGGCGGTTTGCTTGTTTCCGGGCCCAACATCCTTCGCTTGGAGAGCAGATTGTGAGGATGTCTCAGGCGGGGCGCTGGTTTCAGCACCCCTAAGGGGAGCCGCCAGGGGTGGTTGCACGGACTCGTTAGCGGCCATTTTGTGGGGATGTCTCAGGCGGTTTGCTTGTTTCTGGGCCCAACATCCTTCGCTCTTACATATCCCACTGCCAACTATCCTACAACATATGCACATGTGGGAAGCTCCAAAGCTACCACGGGCTGAAAAGGGGAAGGCCTGGCAGCTGAGGGGGGGGATGAAGAGGAAGAGGCTCGCATTCAACCATACTCACAGCTCACTCTGACTCATACGCAATCACTCGCACTAGGGGTCACTCGTTTTCGTCGGCCCTGTCGCCCACGTGGACGCGCTATTGTAGTCGACCGCTCATGAACAGACGCTCACCACGGCATGACATAAAACATGAGATGCACATATGGGGAGCTCCGCGCAGTAAGAAATTTTGTTGTTCTCTTCCTGGCGATATTCGACACGGACCGCTTGAGCTGTCTTGAAATACAATGCAGGCGCTGTCACGCCGACTGGCGGAGCACGTGCAGAAGATAGGAACGGGGAACAACGGAGGACGGAGAGAAAGCAGCCTTCAAGCATCATGCACACGCTGTCACACCAGCTGGTGAAGCACATGAAGCAGGCATCAGGATATGGAGCAAAAGGGGAGATCGAGGGGGCGCGAACGAGAGAGAGAAAGGAAGAATAATGATGACAGGGAAGAGGAACAGCAACAGCAGTAGAGAAAAACTCTTCTCCAGAATAAGCGAACAAGATGCCACCAGAAGTCGTAGTCTCTACGCGAAAAATGTGTGGCCTTACTGGACGCTCTGTTACCGGTGCTGCGACGATTCCTCCACCACTCCCTCCCCTGTCATGCTCCTGGACTCTGAAAACTCACATCGCAGCTTGACTGATAGCATCCCAGAAGCTGCGGCACAAGAGTGCCCCTGATCAAAGCACAACGCTCGAGGCAGCCCCTCCCAGAGACGTCTGCAGGCGAACGTGGGGGCAAGGAGGAGCGGCAGGAGGCAGTGTGCGTAAGGAAACGCAGTTTAAGACACCCGAGCCAGGAGCGGTTCGAGTCTCAGAAGCAACTCTACAAATACTAAATGTGCATGCGGGCATCGTTCCCCTCATTGGTGGGAGTGCGTGCACGACCTTGGAGGCGAGACCTGCTCCACATAAGTCGCCGATCTGGCTCGGGGGCGAGCTGAGCGAAGCACGAGAGCAGGCCAGACCCCGTCCAGAAGCAGCGGAACAGGAGTGCCCCTGCTCAGAGCACAACGCTCGAGGGATCCCATCCCAACGACATCTGCGGGTGAACGCGGGGCCAAGGAGCAGGAGGAGGAGGACGACGAGGAGGAGAATGGTGACAGGGAAGAGGAACAGCAACAGCAGTAGAGAAAAACTCTTCTCCAGAATAAGCGAACAAGATGCCACCAGAAGTCGTAGTCTCAGGCAGACTACGCGAAAGTTGTGTGGCCTTACTGGACGCTCTGTTACAGGTGCTGCTACGATTCCTCCACCATCCCCCCCCCCGCCATGCCACTCGACTCTGAATTACGTCGCCACGTCCTCTCTCCCTCCTCCGTATCCACATTTCACTCGAACCCTAACCACCAACTTTGGAGGTTGGGTGTGTCTTGAAAAATAGTGAAACGATGCAAGCTGCGAGTCGTAGAGTCGAAAAACGCCGCCATGCGCGAAGAGAGTCAGAAAAGGAACTCGATCTATACATATATATATATATATATAAATGAATAAATAAATGCACACACTCAATGGGCATGACGGCATTGTTCCGCTCATTTGTTGAGCGTGGGAGTGCGTGTACGACCTGGTCGACAGAAGTCGACGAGCTGGCTCGGGGGCGAGCTGAGCAAAAGTTGAGGTCAGGCTGGAACCCGTCCAAAAGCAGCGGCACGGGAGTGCCCGTGTTCGAAACACAGCGCTCGAAGAAGCCCATCCCGAAACGTCTGAATGCGAACGCGGGGCAAGGAGGACAAGGAAGAGGAGGACGAACTGGGAGGAGCACAGGACAGGGGGGTGCAGGGGATGTACAGAGACGCGGCCGTGCCGCGGGCAGGGCCAGCACAGGCCGCAAGCGGGCCGCAGACCAAACCTCAAAGTGCGAGGCGAATCAGCCTCACGCAGAAGCGAATCAAGTCGTACCGATATAAAGGGGGAGGAGAGAGAGGAAACGAGTGACGGGAAGGAGGACACAGGGAGGGGTGCGGGGGCGAAACACATCTGTTAGTATTCCGTCCTTCCTGGCGCGCAGCTTGAAGACAGCAGGCTAGCCAAATCAGACTGATATTGGCTCGGCGGCCAAGGATGATACTGCGACGTGATTGCACGCTCCAGCCATGCCTCCTCCTCCCATCCACCCCCAAAACCTCCTCCTCCTCCTCCTCCTCCTCCTCCTCCTCCTCCTCCTCCTCTCCGCAGCAGCAGCCATGTTGGCTCAAGTCCGCAGCGTTTCGCTCAGGACTTGGCATCCTGGTGTCATCCGCCCCCTGTCGATGGCGTGCCAGCACTGGCAAGCTGGCCACGACCCCGCCGAGGTCCTCTGAAGGTCCCATCACAGGGCTCCCGCCGCGCCCAGCGCCTCTTCACCAGATGTGTGGGGGGCCCGACGCCTCCAAAGAGACGCTCGCAATCACTCCTGCCTCAGCGCGCGGGCTCGTCGAGCACACCGTGAAAGCCCGCGTCGAACGCCTCCTGAATGCCCCCTCTGGCGCCGCCCGTGCCGCCGATCTCGCGGAGACTCGCCTCCTCCTCCTCGAAGCCCTCCACGATGAGCCCGTTGTCCCCGAAGTCCTGGTCGGCCCACCGCCGTCGCGCCGCCCCGCTTAGAAAGCCTGCCACCCGCACGAAGGCGCTCTCTCCGCCCTCGGCCGAAATGCAAACGGGAGGGGCTGCAGGGCGGTTACGATGTGTGCGGTCACGCCCGCGAACACGAAGTCGCCGGAAAGGCACGCCTGGGTTCGCCGCCTCAAGACCGCCCGACTGCACCTCCGCGCTCGCCTTCAAGCCGCCCGCCGGCACCGCAGTGCCCTCGCCCGCGTCGATCTGCGCCCACGCGCCCTCGTGGGCCTGCTGCAGCCCCGCGCCCGCGGCGGCCGACGCCCCGACGCCCGTGCCGACCTGCTGCAGCTCCCCGAACCTGCCGCCGCACACTGCGGCCGCTGTCCTGGGATCTGCGCGAGAGAGGCGCCCCGCAGGCAGCGACGGCCCACACGGTCCTGACGCTCCCGACGGCCGCCACGACCCAGGCGGCACAGCCGGCGGCAGTGCTGGCGCAGCCGCCCTGGCGCAGCATCCCGATCCGAGCGGCGAGCGGGGCGCCGCACCCTCGCCGTTGGCGGCGTGGGGCGGGCAGGCCGCGGGGGCCGCTGCGCTCTCCTGGCCGCTGCCTGGCACGGGCCCCGGCGGCAGCTGGGCCAGCTGGCAGCGCTCGTGCTGGGCCGTCGCCAGCGCTGGGGCCGCTGCAGGGCTGGGCGGAGATCCGAAAGTCGGGGTGCGGAGGTCGGGTTGCCCTCCGGGCCTGGGCCCACAGCCCTTCTGCTGTCGATCACGGTGCGGAGCTCCGCGTCCGGTGCGGTCCGCTGGTCGAGGTGCTCGGCCTGCGTCGCCCATACCTGCACGGAGATGCGTGCGCCCGCCGAGTGCTGGATCGTGGTGCTGGGGCTCACGATCGCGGTGGCACTCTCCACGCCCAGGCGAGACGTCGCCATACTCGGGGTGCGCCGTGACCCCGTCGGTGACCGCACGAGGCTGCAGCCGCGGAGAGACGTCGCCAGGCGCAGTGTGCGCTTCCTCGAGGCGCCGCAGCTCGAGAACCCGCGGCGGCCCTCTGGCCGCCGGCGCGGCCGCCGTGGCTGCGCCCGCTGACGCGCCGCCGCCTCCGCTGGCACCGCCCCCGCGCCGCGGCGCGCCCTCTCCGCTGGCGGCGTGTGGCAGGCGGGCCGCAGGGGCCGCTGCGTCCTCGCGCGGCGGCTGGGCCACAGGGGCCGCCGCGCCCCCTCCGCTGGCGGCGTGTGGCAGGCGGGCCTCAGGGCCCGCTGCGCCCTCTGCGGCTGCGACCCCGCCTCCCAGCGGCGGGTGGGCCGCGGGGGGCGCCGAGCCCCCGCTGCTGGCAGAAGGCTCGTGCCTCGTCGGCGACGCGGGCCGGCAGCGGCCACCGAGCGGCTGCGGCTGCGGCTGCGGCTGCGGCTGCGGCAGCGGCTGCGGCTGCGGCTCCTCGGGCGCTGGGGCGGCCACGCCCGCCGAGGCGCCGCGGGCGCCGACCTGGTTCGCGAAATGGTCTGAAGGTGTGTCTGTGCTGTAGCAGCTGATCACGCTCCGCTGATCGGTGTCGCTGGTGTCGTCGCCAGACTTGGTACAAACGGGGCCCTGCTCAGGAGTAATGCCCACTGCTTGTGGCGGATCGCTCCCGACGCGTTGTGTGAGCGATTTCTCCAAACGGTCCGTTCTCACAGATGGAAAGGCATTGTACAGCGGCATGCCGACTATCTGAGACACAAACGCCACGTCCTTGGCGACACTACAAAGGACATCACGAATGTGACTGAACATGCAATAACCGCGTGCGCCTCGAATATGGTAGCCTACCCACGCATCAATCAATAAACCTGCAACAGTAGGGATGCAGAGTGTGCAAGCCAAGTTCCAATTGCCCGACGAGGCACATGTCAAAAGCAAAATGGCACAGCTAAGACCAGCCCATCGGATTGCAGCGTGGGTGCTCATCGACTGTATTAGACTCTCACAGCTGCAATTCCAGAATAACGAAGTAAACTTCATTACCCCACCGATAGCGTACACGGCAACAGCAGTAACACAGATGGATCAGATTCAATATGGTGCGACCTACAAGTCTGCAAGATTATGGAAAAAAGATCAACCAAGCTGAAGCCAAGTACTCTGCCCAAGTTGAGCCAAATTCTTGAGCCAGGGCTACGGAGCTGGTGGGGACACGCGAAGCGTCACGAAGTTCCAGGGGGTAGCCCTGAATCTGGAATTCGGGAGAGGCTTTGATCGGCATGCGTCGCATGATCACGACTCTGGACCACTGTGTTTATCTTGATGCTCGTTTGAAGCTCGTTCTGAGCTCGTTCTGAGCTGGAGCTCGTTCTGGGTCTACAGGCTGGACTGCCTACTGTTGCTGCTGCCTGGTCAAGACCGAGCGCCAAGCCCAATCTTGAAGAAAAGAGCTCGGAAGAAAGCGGAAAATGTCGCAAACGGTGTCGCAAAGGGGACACTTCGAATGCTGATCCTAGGGCTCAGCCCAGCATCGATACCCCCTGCGACAGGCGCTGCGCCGCGTGCCTGTGAATGATACGTCGCTGCACGCCCCAGTCGAGAGGCAGAGGTTCGGGGCACCGCAAGGATGGCCCTAAACTGGGTAGTCGAAGCCAATCTGGCGCCAATCTGGCAGGCCCAATCTGGCAAACGGGGGCAATCTGGCGAGGGAGCCAACGCGAATCCAGTCTGGCGAATAACCCAAATCATCCAGTTTGGCCGGGCCAGATTGGCCCTTGGGGCCCAATCCAATCTGACAGTCTGGCCTTCGACTACCCAGGAAAGGCAGAGGTTCGGGGCACCGCAAGGATGGCCCTAAACACTCTGAGGTCCAATCCAACCCTCTCGTGCCCCAGACCGCGGCCTCCAGGACTCTGCCTGCCAAAGCCATCCACGGGGCCTCCGATGCAGACGTGGCCCAAGCTCTGCAAAGTTCGCGTCTTGGTGAGAGTTAGCTGCCGCGTCGCCCCACAGTCCCCTCGGCCATACGCAGGGCGCCATGGCCCTCACAGGAGGGAAGAGGCCCAACACTCAGCGCCATCTCAAAACGCACTCGGGAACATTTGCCAGCGGGCGAATCGCCTCCGTCCTCCGACAGTGGAGGCCTCTCAAACGGGGTCTGAATAAACAGGTTCGGTGGGCTGCGCCGAATCACCGATGCATAAAACAGGGCTAGGATCGGGATAAATCGCTCCAGAGCGTTCCGGAGCACTCTCAGAGCGTTCCGGAACGCTCTGGAGCGGCCGCGGCGCCCAATACATCCTCCAAACCCGCCGATCCTCAGAGATTTCGAGCTATCCCGATCCGATTTTGTCCCGATCTTCGCGTCGTTTTAATGCACCGGCAAGGCGTCGGCGACGTCGGCGGCGGCGTTGGGCTGGAGAAAAAGCTGGGCTCCACACCGAGCCACACCGCCGGTGCACCGGCGACGCCGCGCGACGATCCGACCCCATCTGCTCCAGATCTCGTAAGCAAGGGCGGGGGGTCTCATTTCGGGGGGGGTCTCTTCCAGGCCATCTTGGAGGGCCTGGGGGGTCTGGGGACGATGTCTTGGAGGGTTCTCCCACGGGGGAGGCCTGAAATGGGCTGTCTTGGAGGGTCCAGACCCCTCCCTTTCGTTACGAAATCTGGAGTACTCTAGCCCCGTTCAGGAGGCCTGGGTGCATCCTCTGGCTGGCGGCGCCGGGGCAGAGTGGCAACGCCAAGGCGGGACCGGCTCAAGGGAGAAACACCAAACCGGAATCGGCGATACATCGCCGATACGTCGGCGATAGGCTACCCATCGCGAACCCGCACGCTCCTGGGCGGGGTGGGCTATACGGCTCCCATCGGCAATGAGCGATGGAGGGGTTGACGCGTCCCCCCTGACCCTGTGCACCCCCAACATTGCCCATGAGTTGGAGGCCTAGAAATTGACACCAACACCAACACAGGGGCTGCCTCCACTTGGGGAAGGTGATCCTAGATTTCGGTGTTGGTGGCAATATTTCGGTCACCTTTGAAGCCAGAAGATTACCACCATCACCGAGATGGGGATCGTCTTCCCTCGGTGGACGCACGCCGCCGATCTCGGTGTTGGTGTCAACCTCGAGGCCTGCGAACATTGCCCAGGAGGGCGCCACCGCTAGGCAAGCGCGTTCCGCTACTCGCAAAGTCACTACTCGCAAATGGCCTGGATCCCCAGCAGGGGGATCTACGATAGATCACATCGGAGCAGGCACGTGTGTTTCTCTGACATTCGCGAGCAGGCACTTTGCGAGTAGTGGGAACGCGCTCGGTGAACTGCGGCCTCCTGGCTGCGGCGCCCCCGGCCGGAAGCCCCTCCATCGCGCGGCGCCCGGCGCCCCAGGGAGCGCCGCGCCGCGCCAGGGGGGGGGGGGCACGCGCGTCGCGCGCGCACCGCGCGCGCGCACGCTGTCTTGGCAGAGGGGGTGCCGGCGCGTCGAGGGCCATGGAAGGGGCCCCAGGACGCACAAATAAATAGACACAGATAAAAAGATTCCCCATATTTTCCCATCTGTTCTGAGTTTTTGTCTTCCCCCCTACTTCCCATGTTTTCCCCTATTATCTGGGGAATCGACGGTTACTTGTCTGTGTGTTTTTCTCCTCCTGAGCCACACAGTGCAAAAGAGTCGAGAGCATGCGGCCTGCAGTCCACGGCTGAACCTAGAAGGTGTTTTTTGTTGTCGTTTCGTTTTCGTTGTCCCTCGTTTTGTCTTCAATCCGCCTTCTGCCGCAAAAAGAAAAAACGAAACGAAAACTGCCCACGAAGTCGCAAAAACACCGTTTAGGCCTCCCCTGGTCCGAGGCTCTCGGGAAGTTGAGGCCAAATTGGGCCGCCGTGTCGAGATGCGGAGGAAAAGCAGGAGCAGCAGCAGGTGATGGAGGACACAGAGGCGGAGGGGGCAGAATCAATGGGACGAGACCCCCTCCTCGATTAACCGATCTCCTCTTGGGCTGGAGCATACGTGTAGACATACATTTGAAACGTGATAGCATGCGCCATGCCTAGGGGCAATATAATGTGCTAGAGCTGAAGTGGCGCAATTGCAGTGTATTCGTGATCTGGTCGACTCGGCCACACACAATGTGTAACCAAAAGCAGCTCTCCGATGTCGGCACTGTTCCACCCGAGGCGTATTGATCTGCTAGGAAACGCAGGTCAGCTGCATACTAACAACACCTCGTAGCACAATCAGCAACGCGGTGATCGAAATGTCGCGTTGGAGAGATGCCGAAGTAGCGGTCTCTCAAACAAGAAAAACTCAAAAAACGTGCGCGTCAACGGTGCGTTTACAAAGCGGTGGGAAATGATCCGCTGCCTGTGGCGCGGTTGCGAAACAACGAAACGACATCCGTAACCGCCAACCAAAATGCAAGGTCGACGACCCGGGAAAACAACGGCAAAAGGGAGCAACAGAGAGGGGACGACTCCCAGGAACCAGGACGAACCCTGTCCGCGGGCTCGAGTTGGACTTGGACTCTCCAAACGCTTTCCTTCAAACAACGCACTGCGCAAATCCCTTTGTGAGCTTCCTACGCTTGACGTTAATCCGGCTGAAACCCCCCAAGCCGATGCGCCTTACAGATTCCTTACGAGCCGGGTTGGGCGAGGGTTTGTACACTCCTGGCGCAGCATCGTACAATCGTTGGGGTGGGCCCACCCACCGAGCGATGTGAATAGTGCCCCCCCCAAGAAGTGCACGACAAGATTTATGAACATCCACAAGGCGCAAGCACGGAAGTTTACGCCATTCCCGAACGCGGGCAGCCGACGCGGACCACGAACGACGGCGACATCTTTTTCCAACAGTCGGTGGCACTGTTTGGGCAGTGGAAAACACAGATACAAACTCGGGCGCAGGAGGCTTTTTTTTTTTCCAACATCAACCGCAGAGGGGTGGGCCGACAGGTTGAGTCAGCCTGGGCTGAAACAGAGCTGGCGGCAGCGGACCGAGGCGGTGGCCGACGCAAGCGCGGGCACCCCAGGGACCGAGGTCAGTCGGAGTCGTCAGACTCCGCAGACCTTACGCGAGCAGCTCGGACAGGAGGGGCCGCGTCCTCCTCCTCCTGGAGGCGAAACCTGACTCGTCGGAGCTGCTCCTTCCCTTCCCCCCCCTTTGGGGGGGAAGGGGAAACGGGGCCCACCACCCCCACCGCATTGGGAGGGGAGGAGGAAGAAGAAAGTCCCAGACCCCCAGGCGGCCCAGTCTGTCCCGCCTCGTCCCCCAAGAGCAGACGAGAGGACGGCGGGACGACAGGGGCGGGCGGCGCGGGCGGCGCCTGGTGGTCGGCCAAGAAGGCCGTCGCGGTGTGGCCGAGGGAGTGAGCGGCCTCCTCCTCAGCCTCATATTCATTGAAAAAGCCTGGGGGCCAAGCCTGCTGCCTGGGCCCCTCCACAGGAGCCTGGGGGGCAGGAGGGTCGGAAGCAGGGGAAGAGTCATCGGGTGGCCCATCCGACATGCTCACTGGATCTTCCAGCCCCGTCGACAGGCTTATACCCGACTTGGGGTGCTTTCCCTTCAAAATCTCACCCCAGGCATGCATCCTACCATGATCAGACTTGCGCTTGGGGTCGGGGGGCCCACAGCACGGCTTGCCGAGATTCCTGACCTGCCCACCGCAAGTGTAGTAACAGCAGCGGGTGCAGGCGACAAGCATGCCTCCGCCCTGATTCACTTCAAAGAAAATGGGTCGGTGACCGTGGTCCAGCAGCCCTTGGCCTGTGATCCCTTTGATGGTGGTCGCGCCTCGGCACCGTCCAGGAGGGGGCTTCTGGGGGCCACGAGCACACCGAAAACAGGAACTGCAAATCCAAAACCTGCCTTCCCAGGACCAGGAATGAGAAGGGAGGAGAGGAGGCCTCGAGGTAGAGGGGGGCTTGGTCCTGGAGGCCTCCGAAAGATCAAGCCTCGGCCAGAGAGACATGACACGTGCAGCAAGCCTACAGACCGCCCTCGCTATGCGCGCCGAGCGCACGGCACGCTCGGCGTCCCCTGGAGCAGGGGCTGGGTGCCTCAAGGCGGCGAGGCGAGCAGCCTGGTCAGCACTATCGTTACCAAGCTTGTGGGCCCTCGCCTCATCTGAGAGGTCGGGGCTGTCAAGGACATGCCCCTTGACCTTACTGACAGCGCTGGCGATCGGACCCAACGCCTGAAGCATAAAGCCCGCATACGGACGGCGAAAAGAAAGCCGCACTGGGATAGGGTCGAGAGAGGCGCTGACCACATTCTGGCAGTCACTGTAGATGTGACTGCCTTCTTCCCCACACTGGGCGGCAACACAGTACGCGGCGTACTCAGAAGCTTGGGAAGTTTGGGGAAAGTGGGCCAGAAGCGGCCCCGAGATAACACACTGCACTTCTCCAGCTTCTGAGACACTAACCACCGACCACCCCGCCCTGGAGAGCTCTGGAGACACATTCCTAAAACAAGAGCCGTCTACATATAACCTACCGCCGACGGTGGTGCTGGTGTTGTACGGGTCCCCAGTCCAAGACACCTGAATCCCAGAACCAGGACCATCAATTTCATGTGCTGGGCGGGGAAGGTAATCGCCTGGGTGTACATACAGCCCACGGGTGTACAGTAGGTACTGCTCGGGGTCACTCTGCTCCGTGAGGTCCAGGGGAGGGGCAAGCCGAGCATCCTTACCTAGTACTTCACTGCGTATATCTTCACAGGCGGGGCAGCGCCACAATCTATGCAAGAGGGTGTCGTCAGCACCTCCACATAGCTCACATAGTACGTCGCCCTGATCATAGCCAGCACTGCGTGCACGAGACTTAGTCCACACAGCCGAGCACGCGAGGGCCTTCATAGAGCCCTTCTCACGCGGGGTCCACTTGGAAGATTGCAGCATAGCATACACCTGGTCATGACAAACTCGGACAGGCTGCGGAAGAGAAGGCAGAAACTTGGCACCTGCACGTCGCTCGTGAAGGTGGAGCACAGCCTGCCTAAGGTGGTGCTTCAGAAGAGCGGGGCTGACCAAGGTGAGCGGCAGGTCCACGCCAAACTGGTCCCTCATGACCGTGAACTGGGCATCGACCACCCTATGCGCTGCAAACTGAGCTTCATGGCACTGATGGGCCCCGAGACCTGCTTCCAGTTGTCGGGCCCAGGTCCCAAGAAAACGGACTCCCAAGCTGTTCGGAGCTCAGGCCAGGACAGGGTAAACGAGAAAGCGCGCATATGGGTCCCCCAGAGCTCCTTGGCGTACCTCAGGATGGGCGCAATGGGCCCGTAGTACGTAGGGTCTTTATCCAGGATAACTGCAGAAGTGAGCGAGCGGGACCCAGCCTTGGGCCTGATACAGCGACCGTACGCACGCCGAACACGCCCCCATTCAGCATCGGAGACCCCGTGAACCTCACTTCCATAATAGTACCCAGGCAGAGGGCCTGTGATAAACAGCTTCCTGGAGTGCCTTCCTAAAGCCTGTCGTATCTTCTGCAGTCGTTTGGTCTTGTGCTTGAGAGTGAGCATACGCACCCGAAACACCTTGGACCGAGTAGGGGCCCTCCTAGGCCTGCCCGAAGTGTGATCGATCCCAAGGTTAGCTGCAGAAGAAACAACTCGCTTGCCAGCCAGAGCTCCCAGTCGCTTGCGCAGCTCAACCGCAACATGGCGATGGGAGGCCACAAGGTTGGCCTTGTCGTGCGAAATACTGCCACCTATGTCGTCCACGATGGCATCGTGTAATGAAACAGCCGCCTCTGACAGGTCGTATACAACTTCCGAGGTAGTTCCGACTGTCGACAGTCCATAGTCATCGATGTATACGTCGAGCGAAACTGTACGTGGGATGCCTGCCGTGTCGAGGGGGCCTATGACGAAAATCCTCACCATCGTCGTGGCGAAGGGACAGCCTGCGACGATGCCATGCTGTACATAGAAAGGGCCTCGCAGAAGCTGGCCCATGGTGATGAAGCGAGCATTGCTATACATAGAGACCACCAATCGCGCGACGGTCATGTCAAAGCCATACTGGGCGCACCTGTGGAGCAAGAGGTCGAGGTTAATCGATTCAAAACACTTGACCAGGTCCCAGAGTAAAATGGCAGAAACCTTGCCGTCACGAACACCAACCTCTCCCTTCACAGACTGCCGCCAGACCACATCAGTGGAAGAGGTAAACTTGCCAGCAGCAAAAAAGGGGCGACGATTGTTCTCCTCCCATCGCGTGGCGTATCCTCTCCTCCCCTTGCCCCACAATCGATAGATGGAGGAGAAAAGGCCGATGGGTCGGAAGCCCCCAGCCTGCTTGCCGATGAGAGACATTATAGTGATCGCAGCCTGCTTCGGGATGAGGCTGCTCACTTCCATGGCAGTGTAGATGACTGAGAGGAGGTCGAGCGAGGCATCCGACAACGACGCGAAGTGGCGCATGTGAAAGCCGTCGACCGAGGTAGCCGCCATTC